AGTGGGGATGGAGCCTGCAACCTGGGCACATGCCCTTGACCATAATTGAAGCTGGGACCCTTCAGTCCGCAGGCCAACGCTCTATCCACTGAGCCAAACTGACTAGGGCAAGTACCACAACTTTTTAATCTACTCATCTACTGATGGGCACATGGGCTGCTTTCAAATTTTGGCTATGCTATATAATAAAAGGGTAATATGCAAATAGTCCTCTTAACTATGAGTTTGACTGGAGTTTGACCAGGGGTCAGGGCTGGCCCACCAAGTGCCCAGAGACCCTCCCCCCAACCCCTATTGGGGTTGGGGCCAGCTAGCTAACCTCCTGCCTTCTTCACACCACCCCCCACCCGTTGGCCCGGCTGGATGGCCCCCCCAAATAGGGGCAGGCCGGCTGGAGCCCACCCATGCACGAATTTGTAAATAATGCTGCAATGAACATAGGGGTGCATATATTTCTTTGAATAACTGTTTCCAGTTTCTTTTGATATATTCCCAGAAGTGGAATAGCTGGGTCATAAGGCAGTTTCACTTTTAATTTTTTGAGGAAACTCCATACTGCTTTCCACAGTGGCTGTACCCATCTCTCCCCACTGTAATTTTTAAGAGCACCCTCAGGGGAGCCCAGTGTGCAGCCAAAATGAAGAACAGCTGGGCTACAGTGTCTTACAAATGCAGCTGTGTGCCGCAGGGGAGGGATGCAAGCTCTCCCCTTCCTGGAGTACCCACTGGGATTCTTTGAGGCTTGTTTTAGGGTACCAAGCAGCAACCTTCGTCGTGTTTGGAGAATCAAGAGATAAAAAGAGATAATGGGAAAGACTGGATCAGAAACTTTTCAGATGTAAGGCTGAGACTGACTTAACTAGCCCTCTCCAACAGTAGGGCTCACTCCATCTTGAGCCAACCCTTACTCACCAGATAGAACAGGGGTGGGGACCCTTTTTCTGCCAAGGGCCATTTGGATATTTATAACATCATTCATGGGCCAGACACAATTATCCACTTAAACATTAGTCCGCTATTGGTCAAACATTTAATTAATTCATCTCTAACGTCTCAGCAGGGCCAGACCAAATGATTTCGTGGGCCTCATACGGCCTACAGGCAGGACATTCTCTCTCTTGAGATAGATATTGGTGATGATTGTGAGGCTTAGAAGCGGACTTATGCTGAGCCTGCATCTCTTTTTTAAAATAAATTTTTCCTGATTTCGGAGAGAAAGGTAGAGGGAGAGGGAGAGAAACATCAATGATGAGAGAGAATCATTGATTGGCTGTCTCTTGCATACCCCCAATGAGGATCGAGCCCATGACCTAGGCATGTGCCCTGACCGGGATCCAACTGTGACCTCCTGGTTCATAGGTTGATACTCAACCACTGAGCCACATCGGTCAGGCGAGCTGGCATTTTTTCACATTCTTGTAATATCTCTACACCATGTACTTAAACTGGAGGATCTCATCAGTTAGTCAATGTACATTTGTGTAGGCCCTACTAGGGGCCCGGACCTGCGGAAAAATGGGAATGATGTGGTCAACAGCATGGAGTCCCTGCCTTCCAGCTGCTCACACACAGTGACATCTTGTGTCCCCCGTGGTATGAAGTCCATAGTCTCCCATGAACTCTCTTAAAAACTGCAAGCAAATGGCTATGATTTAATTCATGTCACCCAAAGCCCCTGGTATACTTTACCATGGGGGTTCTTCTATCACAGATGAAACTGTTGGAAGACTCAAACCTACTTGGGGCTTCAGGTAATATCAACAGTGAAGACAGGGTTACACCCAGTCACCAAGCTTCCCTCATCTTTCTCATGATTACTGCCTCCCACACAAGACTGAGTGATCTAGAAAAAATAAAACATAAAACATAACACAGACCCTAATAGAAATGGTAAGATGATAGGTAATATCAACAGTGAAGACAGAATTACACCCAGTCACCAAGCTTCCCTGATCTTTCTCATGATTACAGTCTCCCACACAAGACTGAGTGATCTAGAAAACATAACACAGACCCTAATAGAAATGGTAAGATGAAAAGTCGTTCAGGACAGAAGATGAGAACAGGCGGGTTGGTGGAATTTTGTGGAACCAGGAAAGATTTTGGAGCCCTGGGAGGTGAGGGCAGCTTGGAGAACCTCTGGGAGTTCTGATGGACGACCCTGGAGCAGAGCAGAGGCCAGCGTTGGAAAAAGGAGAAATTCCAAATGCATGGCTGCCAGGGCTGCAACTCCATCCTGAGCCCCTGAGATGGTCCCTCGGGGATCAGGGCAGAGTAATGATGTGAGCTCCATGCTTCTCTCTCATGGACGATTCCTTTGCAGGGCTTCATGTTGGCCAAAGAGACAGAAGACATGGTGTTTCTAAAGTAAAGCCTTCCTTCTCCTTCACTCCAAATTCCTCTCACCCCTTCTCTTTCTTTAGAAGAGCAGGTGAGTAAATCTAATCCAGCTCTGGACTCCGCTTCCTTCCAGAATCACTTCCCAGGCCCTCCATCCATGCCTGGCCCAGCTGGATGGTTCCTGCCAATAGTACTGTGACACTGCGATGCTCCACTCCTGCTGGGGAGGTCGACTTCAGGGACATCAAGTTTACTCTCAGAAAGAACAATGCTCCTTTGGAATCCTCGCCATCTCCTGAATCCCCAGAGGGCCTGGCAGAATTTCACCTCACTGACCTAAAAACCAGCGACTCTGGAGAGTACACCTGTGAATATTATGGAAGTAGCACAGCCAGAAAGTCACTGCCCAGTGATGTCCTTCTACTACTGGTGACAGGTGAGGACGGGTGCTCAGAATGACACACCATCTCCCTAGGACAGGGATGAGGGGGGATCCAGAGAATTAGAGTGGAACAGGGGTCTCACCTCCAGGGTAGATGGGGAGGTGAGATGGAGAAGGACAGGAACAGAGCTGGGGACCCTGCCCTCATCCAGGGCTTGTAGGAGGGACATCTCCTTCCTGGAGTCAGAGCAGAAAGAGGGTGAGGCCAGGTGTCTGTCACTTCCCACACCCCCTGGGAACCTGCCAGGACAACAAGCCTGACCGGGGACCCAGGCTTCTGCCCATGACTTCTGAGCTTCCTTCTCTTACAGGAGAATTACCTAAACCTTCCCTCCACGCCCATCAAAAAGGTGAGGTGACTGCAGGAGAAAATGTGACTCTGCAGTGCCAGAAGCCCAGTCATGTGATAGAACCTCACATGTTTGCTCTACTGAAGAAAGGAACCTCAACACACATACAGCTCCAAAGTCCAGTAGGAATTCAGACAGACTTCTCCCTTCTAAGTGTGACAGGCAGTGACACTGGGGACTACAGCTGTGTGTACTTCCAACCAAGGGCTCCTGTCCTGGCCTCAGAGCCCAGTGATCACCTTTCGATCTGGGTGACAGGTAAGGTTTCTGCAAGATTTTGAGAACTTGGATTCCCAGTTGGGCCACATGCCTGGGTTGTGGTCTGATCCCCAGTAGAGGGCTTGTGGAAGGCGGCAGAGCGATGGTTGTCTCTTATCATTCATGTGTCTACCTCTCTCCTCTCTCACTCTCTTTCCCTTCCTCACTGAAATCAATAAAAAAATTACGTATATTAAAAAAAGAACTTTAAAAAGGGATGTCATCTTCTGCTGCTCACTTCCTAATTTCCATTCCTTTGCCCTTCTTTGTTCTGAATTCTTAATTTCTCATGCTGTTCTTCAGAATTACCAGCCCTGCCATTATCACCATTCCTCCCACCATTCGCTGCATCTCATAAAGTTTTGGTTGCTTTTAACAAGAGTATTACCCAGAATTCTCTTTTGTTCTCAGAATGTGGCGTTCCACAGCCTCCTGCTTGATGGTGACGGATGCAATGTGTTGTGTTTTTTAATCTCCTGATACTTATGGCAGAATAATCTGTGGTTACCTTGTTTCCTGCTATGGCACACTGTGTGCTAGCTCTGTATGCTGCATTTTCTGCTGCTGAATCTTCTAAAGTGGTCGGTGAATGTCTTATAATTAGATCAAGGTCCATATGGCCAGCCCTGAGAGGTGCCCAGAGCTCCCGAATTCCTGGGAAGCAGGGTCGTTACCCATTTCGCCCCATGGATTCTGCCTTCAGGGAACATTGTCAGTGATGGGTTTAGAGATCACCTTTGCACGAGTTGGGATGGGGACAATGGGGGATATAAATGCAGAATTCTCTTCAGGAAGGAGGAACAATGACAAGATTGAGCCATTCGTGACTGCAGCTAAACACATGACGTCATGATGCTTAGCTACTAAGTTCACTGAGCTCCCTGCTGGTGTAAGTTTTGTGCTGTGAGGACTGGTGCTGATGCAGCTGCTGAATTTCAGTGCTGACAGGCAACTCTGATTCTCTGTGTTGCTTGCACACAAATTCCTAACAAAAGGCGGGAGGTGGGGAAGAGGAAATGCAGGGAGGTGGAAATGAGATGAAAGCAAATAAATGAGAAAGGTAAGGCAGAGAAAATATAAAAAAGATGACGCACTACTATAACTCTCCTAACACTCCCCATTTGGTTCCCAGTGATTAGAACTATAACCTAGTACAGCTGAGCACTGCCCAGGACACACATGGGGGCACGTGAAGGTCACCTCTGCTAGAACCATTGAGAAGCAGGGACATCAGTGGGGATCCTCTTCTCCCTTTCAGATTCCCCTGGTGCCACATCAACAGATTACACCACGGGTAACCTCATCCGACTGGGACTGTCTGCCCTAATTACGGTTCTTATGGTGGCTTTCCTGGTGGAAGCCTGGTGGAGCCAGAGGAGGTCTCCAAGTGGGTCCAGGTAAAACACTGAGCACTTCTCTCTGTCATGGGCTGTGGGAGTGATACGAGGGTCCCCTCCAAACCCACCCATTGCGATTTGTTTCGCATTATGGCGCAGATGGAATTTTCCTCATCCGGTGTGACCGTTCTGTTCATTGTAAGCACATTTAGTATCTCTTTTCCTTTCCTTTCAAACAGCAATTAAAGTGCCAATCATTGTGGAAGAAGCAGAGGAGCAGGTACTACCCACAATACCTACTGAAACCTCCCTGTATGGAGAGGCTGGGAGAAGGGGTGGTTCTTCCTGGCTGAGAACCTGTGTTTGGAGGCTGTGAGAATCCATATTCTTCCTTTTGGTTCCTCCCTGGATCCCAGGCCCCACCTCCTCTACCCACAGGTCCCCCAGCTGCCCCGGAGTTGGGAGGGGGAGATGATGAGTACCTGGTCCAGCAGGACCTGCTGAGTCTTAACAGCTGTGAAACCTACCTTCCCAGCCAGCCCAGGACAAGACGCTGACTTCCTTCTTCCTGTGCGCTTCACCTGGGCCCGATGGCAGGACTGAGTGGACTCACCTAACACATTTTGGATGACTTGACAAATACTTAAAACTTCAGCATCTGACCGGGTAGCAAGTAGTTTCATGTGTGGGAACTGTTCTTCCTTGAAAACTGGGGAAAGATGGGTTCCTATAGTATTTATTAGTGTTTCCCTTCCACTCTATCTTCTGCTCTTTTCAGCAGTTGGTCAAATGTTGAAACTACTGTATTTATCATGTCTTTTAAATTTTATTTCATATATTCTCATCATTTTACCTAATTTGGGAGAATTCCAGTCTATATTATAGAATCAATTTGCTCTTGAGTTGTCCCCAGTATTCCCGGTGCTGGTGTAAAAAGTCATTGAGTATATTTTCATTTTCAAGATCTGTTGTTTCTTGTTTGATATCTTGTTCTTTTTCATAAATGCTCATTTTTATTTTAGAACTATTATCTCCTCTCTCATAACTCTGGAGATAGGCTATGAAAATCACATTCTGATGATAATAAAAGTGATTCTCTGAGACAGAAGTTATTTGCTTCCCCTGCTCCCTTCACTGTGTTGGGCCCATCAGATCATGGAGGAGTCAGCTCCTCTCTCACCCTCATTACAGCTGAGTCCCTCTTCTCCTGGCTGCTGCACTGTGTGTATGATGAGGTGTGTGTGTGGGGGTGGGGGGTTCTGCCCACTGCACTTCTCAGGGTGCTGGGGATGACTGGGACTCCTGGGCTGTGTACCTGTTGCTGAACTTCTCACTGTGGGGCTCTAGGTAACCTCAGGCATCAGGAGAACTTTTCTGTTTCTCCCATTCAATTACTAAAACTCATGCCTCGTGCTAAGAATAAACCCTTTGGCTACTATCTGGTCAAGTGTCGTAAAATAAACAGAAGTCTGGATTTACAGACAGGATGGGTGGGGTCCATCGAAGAGACAGCGGTTGCTCAGTCTACAAACACCTCCTGCTCAGTCTCCACCTTGGCCTCACATACAACAGCTTTAGTGATGCTCCCACTCCCCAATGGGTGACTGTGCGTGTTTATTTAGGTTGTGTTTTTCCTCTTCACACATATCTCACTTTTAACGTGTTTATTTGGAAATAATTGTAGATTCACAGGAAGTTACAAAAATAGCACAGATTTCTTCACTTGGTTTCCTCCAATGGTTCCATTACTCATCCATTACAATATCAAAAGGAAGAAGTTGACATGAATAGTTCTCTCTCTTTTTATCTTATGTTCAGATTCATGTGGCCACCAACACAGTCCAATACTGATCTAGTCCATCACCATGAAGATGTCCCTCATGCTATCTCTTTACAATCACACCCACCTCTCATCTTAACACCATTCTTCAACCCTGGCAACCAATGATTTCTTCTCTATCTCCAAAATATTGTCATTTTCAGAATGTTCCATGTGACAATGCCTGGTTTCATTTCAATAATGTGGTTTCATTTTAGAAGTTAGAGCTTCAGCCCATACACTAAAGGGTCATGATTTGATTCCTGGTCAAGGGAAGGTACCATGGCCCCCTCAGGGCCTGTGGGGGAGGCAACTAATCAATGTGTCTCTCTCACATTGATGTTTCTTTCTCTCCTCTCTCTCTCTCTTCCCCTCCCACTCACTTCCACTCTAAAAATCAATGGAAAAATAATCTTGGGTGAGGATTAACAATTTTTAAAAAAATGAAAGTGCTTGCGCCGAAACCGGTTTGGCTCAGTGGATAGAGCGTCGGCCTGAGGACTGAAGGGTCCCGGGTTCGGTTCCGGTCAAGGGCATGTACCTGGGTTGCGGGCACATCCCCAGTGGGAGATGTGCAGGAGGCAGCTGGTCGATGTTTCTCTCTCATCGATGTTTCTAGCTCTCTATCTCTCTCCCTTCCTCTCTGTAAAAAATCAATAAAATATATTTAAAAAAAAAAAAAAGAAAGTGCTTGCGACATCAAACCTGTGGGTTACGTGAAGGGAAGGAAGAATTGGGCTGGGACAAAGGTGCCACCACCCACATCAAGCTTTCCTTCCTCCTGTGGTTCTAAACTGAGAACGGATCCTTGAATCTAGCGGCAGGCTCAGTATGATCCCTGAATTCCTTTCTCTCCTCTTATTTGGTAAGTTTCTTAGCATTGATATATTGGGATTTGAGACAAGGGTGGATTGACTGATTGAGAGATGTGACGAATACAACAGAAATAACACTGCCTTCTATTTATTGATTGCTTCGCACATGTCAGGACCCATGCTGCAGGCTTTATGGCCACTTACGTATCAAGTATTTCTCACTATGGGAATATGTGTATTCCACAGTCATGATGGTGCTCTATGCCTGCACCACCTTCATGTAATTAATAATTTATTGGCACTGTGTCAACTCTTTTTCTTCAAATCAAATGAATGTATTTATTTGAAATAATGTAGCAAGACTGTAACTAATAATGTAGTCACCAAAAAAAAGAATGAAGAGGTGGAAAATGTTAAAAATTCTAGTCTTTGCTGTTCATTGTCAAGTTTGAGCCCATGGAGGAACACACTCTTTTTTAGTCAGTGACAGAGGTGTGATACCATACACTAAACTTTTCTCCTTGATTTGAACAAAGTGGCTTAGCCCTGGTTGGTGTTGGCTAGGTGGTTAGAGCATCGGCATGAGCACCAAAGGGTTGCAAGTTCGGTTTTCTGTCAAAGGCAGGTACCTGGGTTGCAGGTTAGCTTCCTGCCCTCCAGTTGGCGTGCATGTGGGAGGCAACCAGTCGATGTGCCTCTCACATAGATGTTTGTCTGTCTCACTCTCTCTTTTCCCCTCCCATTGTCTCTGAAAAGCAATGTTCTGTTCATCGTAAGAACACTTAGTATCTCTTTTCTTTTTTGTTGATTTCAGAGATAAAGGGAAGGAGAGAAATAGACACATCAATGATGAGAGAATTATTGATGAGCTACCTCCTGCATTCCCCACACTGGGGATTGAGTCTACAACCCAGGTATATGCCCTGACTGGGAATTCAACCGTGACGTCCTGGTTCATAGGTGGACACTCAACCACTGAGCCACACTAGCCAGGTGGAAGTCTCTTTATCAACCAGTTATACTGAATATGTTTCACATGCCTTGAGCAATGTTTGCCCTGGTTCAGTTATAGCAGTGGTTCCCCTTCTTGGCTACATACTTTTTTTTTTAATATTAAATCTTTATTGTTCAGGTTACATTTGTTCCTCTTTTTTTCCCCCCCATAACTCCCCTCCTCCCAGTTCCCGCCCCACCCTCCGCCCTCACTCCCCACCCACTGTCCTCATCCATAGGTGCACGATTTTTGTCCAGTTTCTTCCCGCATCTCCCATTCCCCTTTCCCCCCCAAGAATAGTCAGTCCATTCCCTTTCTATGTCCCTGATTCATTATAATCACCAGTTCATTCTGTACATCAGATTATTTATTCACTTGGTTCTTAGATTCACTTGTTGATAGATGCATGTTTGTTGTTCACAATTTGTATCTTTACCTTTTTCTTCTTCCTCTTCTTAAAGGATACCTTTCAGCATTTCGTATAATACTGGTTTAGTGGTGATGAACTCCTTTAGCTTTTCCTTATCTGTGAAGCTCTTTATCTGACCTTCAATTCTGAATGATAGCTTTGCTGGATAAAGTATTCTTGGTTGTAGGTTCTTGGTATTCAGCACTTTGAATATTTCTTGCCATTCCCTTCTGGCCTGCAAAGTTTCTGTTGAGAAATCAGCTGACAGTCGTATGGGTATTCCCTTGTAGGTAATTGAGTCTCTTTCTCTTGCTGCTTTTAAGATTCTCTCTTTGTCTTTTGCTCTTGGCATTTTAATTATGATGTGTCTTGGTGTGGTCCTCTTTGGATTCCTTTTGTTTGGGGTTCTCTGCGCTTCTTGGACCTGTAAGTCCATTTCTTTCACCAGGTGGGGGAAGTTTTCTGCCATTATTTCTTCAAATAGGTTTTCAATATCTTGCTGTCTCTCATCTTCTGGCACCCCTATTATTCTGATGTTGGTACGCTTGAAGCTGTCCCAGAGGCTCCTTACACTATCTTCGTATTTTCGGATTCTTTTTTCATTTTGCTTTTCCGGTTGGGTGTTTTTTGCTTCTTCGCATTTCAAATCTTTGGCTTGATTCTTGCGCTCCTCTGGTCTGCTATTGGGTGTAATATTCTTTATTTCAGAGCGTGTATGCTTAATTTCTAGTTTCTTTATCATAGCATCGAGGGTCTCATTAGTTTTCGTGAGGCTCTCCAGAAGTTTATTGCAAGCCCTCAAAATTGCGTTTTTTAGCTCTATATCGTCCATTTCTGTCATGTTTTTTTGTCTCCGCATTTTTTATGCTTTCTTGGTGCACCCCCTAGTGGTCTTTGTGCGCAGTCTTGTTCTAGTTGAGCCTTGATTGTTGTAGTTAATACTAGAGGGATTTGACCACCAGGCCGACTGGCTGTGAGAATCAGCTGTGTCTGCTGCAGTGGGAAAACTTCTGTCCTCTGGAGAGGCGCTAATCTAGCCTTTGCCTGAGGCTATCCGGCAAATGGCTCTGCGCAGGGCTTGGGCGGGGCGGGCTCAACAGGGCGGGCGGAGGGAGCCGTTATGGTGCCCTCAGTCCTGTTCCCAGAGGCTCTGCTTCTCAGAACCCCCGGAACCGCTGCAAACCTCGGAGGGAAAGCTGCCTTCCAACTGATGCCAGACACTCCCGCTTCTCCCGTTTGGGTCCGAGTCCCCAGCGATTCGCCCGTATCTGGAGCTCAGAGTCTGAGACTCCCCCCTGACCGAAAACGACAACCGCGCTCTCAGCCACCAGCCCGCTTTGCGCGCGCACCTCCGCACCTGAGTTTTTTCCACACTGCGCCTCCTCTGAGCCTCGGTGTGCTGTTATTTTTCCTTCTAGTTGAAGAGTCTCTCCTCAGCCAGCCTTCCTGTGGTTCTGGGTGATGTCCGTTCCGTCTTTTAGTTGTATTTTTGAAGTGGTTGTTTGCGGCAGCAGTCTCTGGTGTTTACCTATGCCGCCATCTTGGTCTCTCCTTGGCTACATACTTGTATCACTGAAGGAACAGATGTTAAAAAGTACAGATGCCTGAGCCCCATTTGAAGACTTTTTGACTTATTCTACTGTGGTTCGGTCTGACCCTGGACTTTTTACTAGCTACCAGGGGAGCCCAATGTGTAGGCAAAGTTAAGAACCATTGAGTGAAATATCCTACAAATACAGCTGTATGGGAGACAGGAAAGAAGGTATGCTTTCTCTTTTCTGGAATATCCATTTGGATTTTTCAAGGTTTGTTTTAGGACACTAAGCAGTAAACTTTGTCCCATTTAGACATCATGTGATGAAACACACAATGGCAAAGATAGGGTCAGAAACCTTTAAAGAAGGCTAAGGTTGTCATAACTAGCACTATCCTACCATAGGGCTTCTCTGCCTCTCAGCCAATTCCTTGCCCCACCAAATGAATGTGAGTCTCTATGGTGTGAGGTTGGGATGGAGTGAAGCTTATGGAAGATAGGAATAGACTGTAAGGTTGCCAACTTTCTACATCCTGGTAAGATATCTCAGTCATTCTTAACCTGGGGCACCTCACCAGTCAGTCAATGTGCTTTCATATGGGCCAGGACCTGTGGAACATTGGGATAATGTGGTGAACAACATGGACTCCCTGCCTTCCAGCTGGTCACAGACAGTGACATCTTGTGTCTCCCATGGTATGAAGTACATAGTCTTCTATGTAGTCTCTTAAAAATTTCAAGCATCCCAGCTGTGGTGGCTCAGTGGATTGAGTGTCATCCCATGAACCAAGAGGTCCCAGGTTCGAGTCTCAGTCAGGGCACATGCTCTGGTTGCAGGCTCGACCCCCAGTAAAGAGTGTGCAAGAGGCAGCCAATCAATGATTCTCCTCATTGATTTTTCTCTCTCTCTCTTCCTCTTCCTTCCTCTCTGAAATCAATAAAAACATATTTTTTAAAAAATTGCAAGCAAATGTTATGACTTAATTTATGTCATCCAAGGCCTCTGGTAGACTTTACTATAAGGGTTCTTCTATCACAGACGAAACTGTCAGAAGACTCAGGCCTATGTGGGGCCTCAGGTAACATCAAGAGTGGACAGGGTTACACCCAGTCACCAAGCTTCCCTGATCTTTCTCATGATTACAGTCTCCCACACAAGACTGAGAGATCTAGAAAACATAACACAGACCCTAAACGAAATGTTAAGATAAAAAGTGGTTCAGGATAGAAGATGAGAACAGGCAGATTTGTGGAATTTTGTGGAACCAGGAAAGATCTTGGAGCCCTGGGAAGTGAGGGCAGCTTGGAGAACCTCTGGGAGGTCTGATGGAGGACCTTGGAGCAGAGCAGAGCCCAGTGTAGAAAATCCCAAATGCATGTCTGCCAGAGCTACAACTCCATCCTGAGCCCCTGAGATGGTCCCTCAGGGATCAGGGCAGAATGATGATGTGAGTTCCAGGCAGGCACTTATGTCTCCTGGATGATTACTTTGCAGGGCTGTGTGTTGGCCAAAGAGACATAAGAAGAGATGGTGAGTGTTTCTAAACTTAAACCTTCTTTGGTCCTTCTCCCTCAAAGCCTCCCTTTCCCTTCTTTAAATGGGCTTCCAGCAGGTGAGCAAATCAAATCCAGCCCTGGACTCTGCTTCCTTCCAGAGTCATTTCCCAGACCCTCCATCCATGCCTGGCCCAGCTCAATGGTTCCTGCCAATAGTAATGTGACAGTGCGATGCTCCACTACTTCCCGGGAGGTCAACTTCAGGGACGTCAAGTTTGCTCTCAAAGGGGGAAGAAATGTCATGGAGTCTTCGCCATCTTCTGATTCCCCAGGGGGCCTGGTGGAATTTCATCTCAGTGATGTAAAAACCAGTGATGCTGGAGAGTACACCTGTGAATACTACAGAAAAGGGAGCCCCACCATAAGGTCACCGCCCAGTGACGTCCTTCTACTACTGGTGACAGGTGAGGACGGGTGCTCAGAATGACACACCATCTCCCTAGGATAGGGGTGAGGGAGGATCCAGAGAATGAGAGAGGAGCAGGGGTCTCACCTCCAGTGTAGATGGGGAGGTGGATGGAGAAGGACAGTAACAGAGCTGAGGACCTGCCTTCATCCAGGGCTTGTAGGAGAGACTTCTCCTTCCTGGGGTCAGAGCAGAAAGAGGTTGAGGCCAGGTGTCTGTCACTTCCCACACTCCCTGGGAACCTGCCAGGACAACAAGCCTGAGTGGGGACCTGAGGCTTCTGCCCATGACTTCTGAGCTTCCTTCTCTTACAGGAGAATTTCCCTAAACCTTCCCTTAAAGCCCACCAAAGGGGTGAGATGACTGCAGGAGAAAACATGATTCTGCAGTGCCAGAAGCCCAGGCACGTGATACAACCTCACATGTTTGCTCTACTGAAGAAAGGAACTTCAACACCCATAAAGCTCCAGAGTGCAGTAGGAATGGAGACAGACTTCTCCCTGCCAAGTGTGACAGGCAGTGACCCTGGGGCCTACAGCTGTGTGTACTACCAACCAAGGGCTCCTTTCTGGGCCTCAGAGCCCAGTGATCACCTCATGATCTCGGTGACAGGTAAGGTTTTGGGGCAATCGTGGAACCCCCCTCCCCCGATCGCCCCGCCAGCTGGTGGCCTGGGCCTCCCTTTTTGTGGTGATCAATAGCAGAGCCCCTCCATTGATCGTCCCACAGATGGTGGCCTGGGCCTCCCTCTGCAGGGTGATCGTGGGGCGATGGTGGGGCCCCCCTACCAATCGCATTGCACCTGCCTTGGCTGGCCTGGAGCCAGTGCGTGTCATAGCGTGGTCTTCCGGAAAGTCGTCCGGACAGTCGTTCTGCTGTTCAGTCTATTTGCACATTACGCTTTTATTATTATAGATAATATTGTAATAACTATGTAGTGTGGAAGGTGGGTACTGGAAATATCAGAAGGAACACTTTGTAAAACTATATGATTGTCTAACTTCTATGCTGTACACCTAAAACTAATACAGAGTAATAATAAACGTAAACTGTAATTTAAAAATAAATTTTAAAAATATAATTTGCTCATTTGATCTATCATCATCTGATTCTCACTTCCTAATTCCCACCTTTGCCTTTCTCTGTTCTGCATTTTTGGATAATTATTCTTGCTGTTCTTCAAAATTACCTACCCTGCCGTCACCACCATTCCTTCCACCATTCTCTGCATCTCTTAAAGTTTTGGTTGATCTTGACGATAGTGATTTCTTCCCCACAACTCCCTTTTGTTCTCAGAATGTGGTGTTCCACAGCCTCTTGTTTCAGGGAAATGGATGCAATGCCTTTTTAAATTTTAATTTCACAAAATTTACTGGTAAAATTTGTCTGAGATTATATCTCATTTCCTGCTATGACACATGCTATGTTTCAGCTCTATAATCTTTTCTGCTGTGCAGTCTTCCCATATGGTCGGTGAATGTCTTATAATTAGATCAAAGTCTGTATGGCCAGCCCTGAGAGGTGCCCAGAGCTCCCTGATTCCTGGGAAGCAGGGTCATTACCCATATCTCCCCATGGATTCTGCCTTCAGGGAACATTGTCAGTGATGGATTTAGAGATGAACTTTGCATGAGTTGGGATGAGTGAGATGGGGGGATATAAATTCAGGCTTCTCTACAGGAATGAGGACCAATGCCAAGATTAAGCCATTCATGACTGAAGCTGAATACATAATGGTCAAAGTGCTTAGCTACCAAACTCACCCTAGCTAAGTTTTGTGCTATGGAGACGTATGCTGATACAGCTGCTGAATTTCAGTGCTCTGAGGGGGCATTTCTGGCTCTTTGTGTTGCCTGGAAACAGATTCCTAACACATGGAGGGAGAGGGGGAAAGGAAATGCAGGATAGTGGAAATGAGATAAAGAGCAAATGAACGGAGAAAGACAGAATACAAAGAAGATGGAAGAACCACTACTTTCATAAAACTCCACATTTTATA